AAGAAGGGGCGGGACCTAGATCAACGGTGCCTTCCATTGAAACACCACAACAACTAAAGTTAAGGTAGGGAGTTTAAACGACACGATAGTTTCCGCATGCAACAATTCATTACTATGCGATAGTGCCGAGCCATCCGCCGCCAACACGCCTTGTCAGAAACAAAGCAGGCTTACATATGTATATCTATCCACTCTCAACCTCACTAATTCACACCAACCGTGTAAACTATCGTACAGACGAGACATGGCTTGCATGATGAATCGGGGCTAGAACCAGTCGTCAACTGCTATGCGCCACAAGAGCCCAGAAAGATACAATACGATGCTGTATACAGTATGGCGGAGCGCATATCTGTTGTGTTGTGCTGTGTTGTGCTGTGTTGTGCTGTGTTGTGCTGTGTTGTGTTGTGTTAGGTATTTTGCATTTGAGGGTTTTATTGAGTTCTTATCCGTTGCTTTTTCCTTCTTCCCCCGTTGGTTGACCTGAGATCTGTCCAGGATGAGCTGGCAGGCCACCTGGCCCATCGGCCTGACCAGGTCAGAGATTACGAGGTCGAGAACACGACCACAACAAACCGATTCATCAGAACAATGACCCCAGGACTTATCAAGTTAGTTAGGTTGTGATCTATCAACCGGGTTGCTAGGAGCCCTTGAAGATTACGTACTGCCCTCGTCCGAGCGCTCTGGTTTACAGGCCAAAGAGTTCCGATTTTAGATCTTGACAGATGGGGTCAGTCGACTGACCCATTGTATCTCAACGGGAAAGCTGTTTGCCGAGCGTATCACCAGTTACTTGTTTTGCTATTTACGTTTTCTCATCATACTGACATCTCGGTCAGTGGGAAGCCTTGATCTTGGTTATAGTCCCAGCTTAACGCCATCCTCGCTACGCACGGGGCCAGGAACAGCCTTAATTCCTCTTGTCTATTCCCACACTGGTACCCGTCTGTACCTGAAAGTCATTCCTTGATCGAGACCTTGAAAGATGTGGCAGCTGATGACGGATGCGGTTGAGGCTGAGGCTGAGGCTGCTGCCCATCTGTGCGTGCAGGGACATTTGCACAAAAAGCACTTTGCCTTGTTCATCTGGGACGGGAGATTCACCAAGGCAACGGTACCAGACTGCATCCTGATTGGCTTTTGCTCTGATTTACTGTCTAATTAATTGCTTTTCTAAATTCACAGCACGTCAGACAAGCCGACGGGTTGATCATGGAGCTGTCTCTATCATGGATGGTTTATTTCAACAAACTCAATCCGGGTGTTGACAGTTACCGAGCTTGAAATGGCAGGCGCCCCTCCCGTGTAACAATGGCAACAATTTTGATCTCGAATTGAATTGCATTGGCAATCTATTGCTCTACGCGCTTATACACTGCTTCTCCAACAAAGGTTATGCTGGCCTGCCTGATAGTCATATTTAACGTCAGATCTACACCAATATCCGACGACACCGCCAAATCATGCACAGACTAAAATGATCGCAAGGTACTTGGCGCATCGGAAATATGGCCGAACTCGGTATAAACAAGACGGGACGGTTTTCAAAGACTCGACAACGCCTAAATTAAGCATGGCGGAACAATTTAGACAAAACACAAGTTGCATCTGTTGATCGATGGTTGTCGTGACAATTGTGTGTTGGCAAACAAAGCAATTGCATGATATCACAGCTCTACAAGCTCTACAAACCTGCATGCATACGGTGCCTGCCAAGGGTCAGTTTTGACACCTTGTAACATTGACTCCTCATGTCTCTCTTTCATCCCTCGTGTCTTGCCCAGACCTGGGGATTCATGGGCAGACACTCTCATGGAGCCAGGTCCACCAGCTAAGCCACTATACAAGGATTCTCCCTCTTTCGAGCCTTCGAATTCCCCCGTTTTGCTCCACCGTGCACTCATAACCGGCCAATTTCACGGTAGAGAAGAAAAAAGAGGCTGGCAAATCCCATCTCAGGTCAGCCTGCCACCGTTCAGCTCATCCACGAATAACCTCCCTCAGGCGCATCGCGATGAAATGAAGGCTTTCTTATATGCATAAGCAATCTCGCAAACATCTCAACGAGGAAGCTATGTAATCCCGCTCGACACGGGTGGCATTCCTATTATTATCTGCAACAGTAATAAACCAATTTGCCCAGCTAATTACGATTTCCTCTTCATTCCGTCATGAGATCCATCTCCCTGCGTTGCGGTGAAGGAGGCCTCGGACAGGACAGATTCCCAAAAATATGTACCGTGTTTTTAATGGGGTTGAGAAATACCCGAATTTAGCACGCGATGGTTCATCGTCATTTCGTGGCCTTGGCTCTGGGCCCATGATAGACAGGATGTCATTTATGTAGGATTCGGCCACGATACCGAAGGAACATGGCCTAATCTGGCTTCTAACCCGCATCAGTCGTGTCCCACTATGACATTGTAGTGTCATGGATGCTGATTACGATGAGCCCGATTAATCCTCGCGTCATTATAATTAGGTGTTCATCCATTCTCTCTCATGGCATGTTCTCAGTTGAAGCCTTATGATGAACGCTTCCTTCGAAATGTCTCTCACAAGACTCCACATTGTAATATTTCTGCCTTTCGGAAATGTCTCTGTAATCTAATGATGCATTTGCAATACTGTTAATTAATCTAATTACATAGTAAGCACCATTAGAGTGCGTACGTCAACAACATGCTTCTGGACAGTAATAGGCTCATGGTTTGGCCGAGGCCATGTCCCTTGATGCATACCCATACGGTTGGCCCCCCTTTCATACAGATGCCTGACATGAACGTAAACGGACATGCAGCTGGCAATACGAACAGTCATTCATTACCCCTGCTCCAATCACATCACTTGATCAGCATCTTGACGGTTAGCTTCCATGCATCGAAGTCAAAGCCACCTGCGAGAAACTGCAAACTAGAAATCCTTGTAAACCTTGGGTGGCTAGGGGAGGTGAGAAAACCCAAGACCACGATCTTGAGTGACAAAAATACTTGGGTGACCACAGAGTATAAGGTTTAGAAGATTTGATTGGTATTATTAGCCCTTTCCTTGAAGGTCTCGGGTCTTTTTGCTCCGCTTAGAAACTGGATCTGAGGCTTACAAGTTCACAGCTGAAAGACGTAGCCAATAGCGTAGATTCTCCCTCGACAGACAGTTAAGCAGGGACGGGATGGCACATTATTGGAAGACTCGTCAGCGCCGAAGAAAGCCAGACGGACGAACTATTGAATGGAGCAAAGAATAGCCGAACCGAGGCCAGCTCAACCTTAGATTATTATCAGGAATTCATCTGTAGGGGCCAGAAGTCTTCAGATCGTGAAACAAAAGGACCAAGCGACGTGACAAGATCGCCCCTTATCTGCCCCTGAATTAAAGTATGGGGAGGTACCTGGACCCTTGATTTGAGCCACAGTTCTGGACCAAATGTGGGGGCTCACAGCCACAGCTTTATCGTGATCCTCACCGCCTCTGAGATAGTGCCCCACTGCAACATTTTTTGACTGGCAGAAAAATTGGTGAAGCGCGCAAGATCGCTCAAACGACACGCCTCGGTATCAAAGACAGATACACAGCAACAGCATGTCTGATACGGAGAAAACAAACCTGACTCCCGCTCCTGCGGCGGAGAAGACTCTCGGCATGCGCAAGAATGGTAACATCAACCACCAGCATGGGTTGTATATGGATTCACCAAGCTAACTGTTCCGTAGGCAAGCAATGGCATGCCCCCAAAAAGGCCTTCCGACCTACCGCTGGCCTGAAGTCATATGAGAAGCGAACGCAAGAGCGAGCTCTCATGGCGCAAGTCAAGGCCAAGGAGAAGGAGATGAAGGACGAGAAGGAACAGGAGCGCCAGGTAGGCCCAGATTCTCCTCACATTTGACGAAACATGTCTAAATTAAGAAACAGCGCAAGATTGCAGCCATTAAGGAGAAGCGAGCAAAGAAGGAGGAGGCTGAGCGATACGAGAAGATGGCCGAGAAGATGCACAAGAAGCGAGTCGAGCGACTAAAGCGCAAGGAGAAGCGAAACAAGCTAATCAACTCATGATCTTGGGAAGGCTTTGGCGGTTGAAATTTGATTGGAGCACACATACATCGACAGCACTATGATTTACGATGCGGTATACCTCAGACTACAACTTGAAATGGAAAGATTAGGTTAGACAATACGGGAGCAGCACAATATACCTGGGCGTTGGAATATGCGATCAAATCTTGGCAGATCAGTTAACAAGTTCTCTGACTATCGAGTGGTTATTCGTCTTCATGTGATTAAAGATTCTATAAAAAAAAAAAAAAAAACTTATATTCATCATGAATTCATAGATCGGCTGGTTCGAGACTGAGTCGAGCTCTAGCTGAGCTTCTTTTGTTGTAGGAGAGCCAACTAAAAGCTTCAGGGGAGCGCAATGACATGAGGTCCACAGATCTAGAATTCCAAGTTGACGAAAGCAACATACGTGAATCTTCTATTAGACCCATCCTAGCCATCCATCTACTGGTTTCTTTGGGGATCTTGGTCTTAGTTAAAGACCGCCATTGTGGATATCGTGATGACTATGACACCATTCTGAGCTTGATCAACCGATGGCACATGCCATGACATTCGAGCTGTTTTCAATATTTCGAAAGGAAGACTATATACGTCTACCAGCATCTAATACTATTGAAAACGTATTCGGATACTATCCGCATCTCATGTGGAGATGTTTCGATCTTGTATGCATCTACAATTCAAGTGACATGTGAAACTGCCGGTTTGCAGGGGTCCACTAAACCACAGCCGAAGTTGACCATTCGACGATCGCCTGATGCAACCACGCAACAAACCTGGAATTCTACTGCTCCAAGCCCTCTTTTGGGTAACCCACCCATTCATGCGTCACAGGGTCCAGGCATAGAGTTTTTCTCCCGACCTACAGTACGGTCACTATAGCTGCAGGCAGGACGAATCGGGATCAGCCACACTACCAACGGGGAAATACCGCTCACGCCATGGCCTCAGCAGGCTTTACGGGTCCCCGAGACTCTACAAACTCGGTCTCCAGTGTTCGTTCCAGCAGCCGACATCAGTTGAAACGTTCCATCACCGAGCTCGCGTCGCCCGTGAAGCTCGGCCGTCGAGAGAAGAAAGAACGCGATCGATATAATGAGGACCGCGCTGTGCATCCGCACCACATCTCAATCTCACATCCCGTATCTGCGAACCCACAATATCAAGGCAGAGCATCAATAGACATCATGACACGCTCGGAAGGCGTCACGCCGTACATGAGCCCCGATCAGAGTCGGAGGCCAAGCTTGATGCTTTCGCGAGAGGAGGAGAACAGAGCTCTTATCGTCCTTGCTCCGCCGGAACCCAAGAACAAGGAGAAGATATTGGAAGATCAGGCTAAAACGTCCTCTCAGGTCGAGTAAGATGCTGCAAATATCCTTTTCTGGTGCTACATAGCTGATGCATTCATAGGGGCCTGAAGCAATCCCTGGTCGAGCTTGGATCTTTCTCTACGTCCACAGCCCGGCGACTTGACGAGACATACTATGCGGTTCTTGAGAAGATGAGTACGCTCCAGTCGACTGTTTCCGCCTTGAAAGAGTTGGCGGAGGAGTCTCAGAACATCCATCGAAATTTTGAGAAGGACGCTTGTGAAATTGAAAACGATATCACATCGCAGATTGCAGCAATGGGCCAGTTCAAGGAGCACCAGGAGAACATCGAATCACTCACGACCCGTGTCCAAGATGGCCGCGCAAGAATCCGCGCTCTCAGTGATCGAGTCGATATTGTCCGAGAGCAAGTTGAGCTCTGGGAGCGTCTAGACAAGGAGTCCCAGGACAAGACACGGTTGAGGCTGAGAGCTATCATCATATGCATCACGGTTGTGTTCCTTGCAGTGGTGGTTCTGTTCTTCGGTGCTCAGTATGTCTCAAGACATAGTTCACTCTCGGGTAGTGATAACTCGAGCACATCTCGTGTTGCAGAGTCTATCGTCCAGTCGCATAAGGGAGCGGCACATCCATCATTATCTCTCCGAAGACCTGAGAAGAGTGGTGTTCCATATTCGAAGAGGAAGCAGGTGCATACGCATGCAGAGGAGGAGCTTCGTGTTTTCGACGAACTGTGAAATTGTCGGTTCTCGTTTTAATTGCTTTCATTCGATACCCATCATAGCGCGCACATCGCATAACTCATTTATTCCCTTTGTACTGGCAGGATTTTAATAGATAGTTGATTCACATCGAGATTGTTCTTCAATAAAGCACTACCTCAATATCGATGTATCCTTTGGTTTGTAGATAAAGCCAATTGGTGTCGATCAACTTACCCTACATCAATCGCAAGAAATCTTTCAAAGAGTATCGACTCAATGCACAGTAACCAACACCGGAGTCAGTTCTGCACGCGGCTATTGCAAGCATCATAGATAATGGTGGCATGCGATCATTGATACGTAGATGAGGCATCTGGCATGTTTGCATTGCTCAAACTACCGACAATCTCACGTTTCCTCACTCACTGAATGCCTATAGGCATGTCAAGCCTGACATTTGTGTCGCTGACTCTCATTCCACAGATTATTGATAATTTGTGATGCTAAGATATCTACCTAGCTCTCTCATTAGGAACATCTCCGTTTTCCCTGTTCAAGCCAACAACTCCTGCGCCGAGCCGCTTCCGGCGCCACACTTCGGAGCCTCCGTGTCACTTCCCCACCGCCGAGCCGTGCGTGTCCCGGAGTCAGTCCCCCAATGGTTTGGTACAGCTCTGCTTTGACCCAAATTGCCAAGGATTAGAGAATCGAATCGGTTGACAAAGGCCGAACGTTCTCCGTGAAACTGTGCTGATGAGCCCAGAACCTAGACAGAGCGTTTTGAGCTTCTTTGTGACTTTATTTACTGAAGGCAGGGCTACCCGATGCCATCGAAATTGACAGGGAGACCAAATATTAAGAGCCTCCCAGGGCTGTGACATATCGTAAATAATGTCCAGAACGTTCCCATTTAGCAACTCATGTAAGGAGCTGGCCAATAAAGCACAGACTCGGCATTGCGTAACTCATCGTGGCGGGGCAAAAGAATCTCCCTCTGATTCCCCATTCTGGTACCCATTTCGATGATTGGCTTACTCGTAAGAAATGCCCAATCCCTTATTATTTCACGGCGTAATCCCGTGCTTGGTCCAAGTTCTCTGCAGCCACAATGTCAACGCAGATGGAGTGGATATCACCGTGGCCAGCGTGGCTTATATTCACCAAGGTCGAAATGAGACTGATATTCGGATCAACAAACAGGATCGGCTGCCTGTTTTGGATGCCGAACGGGCTGATCAAACGAGATGAGTCGTCGTCACTGTAGTGCTGACAGTTTTTGGCAGCGGATAAGTAGTCCAAACACCGTGAGTCTATGAAGCTAGAGAACTCCTTACAACAAAGACCTGTTGGGAGTTGCTTGGCATCAGTCTATAGATTGTATGAAAGCCCCCTCCGTATTGATAATAACTCATCACTAAAATGTCTGTTCAGCCTTACATTAGGCGCCCAGGACCATTGACTATACCAGAAACTCAATAGCCGTTACATTAGTCTGATATCCAAAAAGTTTGACTGTCATGCCGGGCTTCCATAACACGGCAAAAAGGACCCGAAAAAGCAGGGTTGTGAGAGTCTGGGCGAGTGGCTTGGTACTTGGCGACACACGTCATGGCCCTCGCTTTGGCGCTTATTACACGCAAGTGCACAGCGTGAGGAGTACCTTAAAAAGGTTGAGGTCTATAATGCAAAGGAAGAAAAGCTTCATCATTTGAGGTTCTGTTCCTTTGGCCGTTCTGTTCGTGATACCCTGAAGCAGACGCTGATGTGAGTCCCTATCAACAGCCGACAACATTACGTAGCTGCGCCCCATAAGGCACTTATTAGCGTACTAACGATGGAAGCTTACTGCAGCTTTGCCCCGCCAAACGAAAGCAGACCAAACCAACAATATTCCGGACGTTCTTCTGACGCAAATCTACCTACCCCAACTTCGCCGAGTCTTCTACATACATCGATATCAATTTACAACGGACATTGATAGCGGCCTGCCTTCTGAACGTGAAATACCTTCCCCCCCCCCTACAAGACACACACAGAAAGCTCTCTATAATCGATTGTTGCGCAAGAGACATGGCTGCTGAGGCCAGAGATACGCCCGCAGTTGTTGAGGATGCTTCCGCGAATCCTCCATCTACCGTTGACCTCCCAGTGCGATCAAAGCAAGATGCTACGCCGCCGCCAGGCCAGGCGTTAACCGGCAAGCAAGAACACTGTAAGTGTTGCAATGCGCAGTAATTTGCGATTAAATGCGGGTTACTAGATGCTGATATATGCCTTTACGCATTAGACCTCAAGAGAGAGCTTATTTCGGAGCAGGTAAAGTGGGAAATAAACGAACTCAATTCTACCACCGCCCTCCAGCGTTTTGGCGCGCCATTTCGATCCGATCAGGGTGAAGTCCCTCCTGAAGAATCCGAACTGCCCATTCTGCGTTACATCTTCGTCCATCATGTTCGCGACTTTCCCTTCCTTGATAAGGCGCGCGAGAAGGAGTTCTGGCAGGACAAGCTTCAAGTGGTGAGTAATGATGATGCGATTTGTTCATGGTCGACCTGACGCTAACGAACTACAGTTCCTCGAGTCGTTCGCAGGAAAGCAGATTTCATCGTCGGAGGATCGCCTAGAGGAGACGAAGCGAAGAAAACTAGCCATCAAGGCCAGGAAACTCGTTGAGCTTATGATGGTCTCTGGAATTGGGACATCGTCAGGATTCGAGGAGCGCATTCGGTTTTCAGAGATTGAGATTGTTGACAGCAATGCTATCGACACTGGTGTTATGCATACCCTGCCCGAGGGCAACTACATTAATGGCTGGGATGTCAATGTTGCAGGCGTGCGAGTCACACAGGTCAAGCATACGATCCGAAAGCACAAACACGCAGAATTCATTCTGCGTATCAAGAAGAAGGGAGAATTGGAGCACTATGTTGGTCGAAGATATAGCGACTTTGCCAAACTTCACAGCCGATTGCGACAAGAGCTTCCTGGTCGAGTCGTACCAGAGATGCCCAAGAAGAACAAGTCAGATACTACAACAACGATCGCCTTTACATCCATGTTTAGCAACGGAAACGAATCAGATGCTTCCTCCATTTCTTCAGTTTCGACAAGACCTAATGGCTATTCATCTATGTTGACGCCTGGTGCGACCCACCCCATTTCTGTTGGATTTCTTACTTATGCTAACTTTACGAAGGTCACCGTAGGGCTGGGTCTGCGGCATCATTCAGATCGAATCGATCCAAGGGGCTTAATTCCCCTAAAGTTCCATCTCCTCGTGTGTCAACTGAGGGAGGAAGACTTAGCCCTGCCGTCCGCCAGGATTCGGATAAGTCAGATAAATCAGAGGTATGGGTGATACAATATACGACTTCCACAGTCACCTAACAAGATAATTAGACTGTTGTTCTTTGGCGTGAAAACCAAAGAATTTCACTTAGGGCGTTCTTGCGATCTGTACTCCACAACCCCCAATTTGCTAATACCAAGGCTATGCAAGACTTTCTTAGTGGCGAGCCCATTACCCCCACAGACGAAGATGTTGAAGATATTCTTCGAAGGAAAGAGGTGGATGAGAAGCGCATAGAAGAGCAAAAGCAATTCTATGAAATCGCGAGGAAACGAGCCGCCGAGCTTGATGAGTACATGGAACAGTGAGTGTTGAATCACACCGGCCATAAGCCTGAGCTGACATCTTCCAGGTTCCGTCGCGATATAGTAGAACACAACGGACTTACCATGCTCTTCAAAGAGATCAAGGAAAAAGAGACGATCCAGGATCTTAGTATCCAATATCGAAAGTTTGCCGAGTGGCTTCGTATCGAGATTGCTGCCGTCATTTACCACCTCTTCCTGGCTGAGGACAACTCCCCTGAGCTCTTTGCTCAGGCGAGACGCATTCACTCTCTCATCCCATACTCGGTTATCAAGAACGTTATCCGAATTGCAAACCCCGCGGCAGTCATGTCTGGTGTCTTGGACATCTTCCTAGCTCAACCATTTGGTACACGGTCATTGATGCAGAGAATTTTCTCACTTACGCTTAACGATGGTATTAAGAGCTTTCAAAAGTCGATCGATATCCTCGCTAGCAAGATTGACGATCCTGTCTTCTCGGACAAACTCTACAAGTACACACATGCCGAAGAACACATCAAGGTCGCCATTCGTGAAGAGGCTGAGGCAGATGATGTGGACTTGATCGTGGCGATTATGAGATCTGATCTCATTGAACCAGGGCTTACAGGAGAGCAAATCCAGAGGCTCTACAATGCATATGTCGCTTTCAACAACGCGGTGGAGAATATTGACGAGGAGCTGCGCCAGGGCGCTCAACTGTTTTCGTACATGAAGCAGTACCTGAAGCTGTGCACAAGGCAGAGGGACAAGGAGATGATGCTCCAGTTGATCGAGGAGCCGGTGACCCTCCAGCTATTCCGAGACCTCTTTACCATCTTCTACGAGCCTCTCGTACGAGTCTACAAGTCGGCAAACGTGTACAATAGTGTTACTGACTTCGCTGTCTTTATCGACGACATGATCCAGGTGAGAGAAGCAGCTACCCCCGATTGGAAACTGCATGCTAACATATGTATAGGTCGTGGACAAGTGCAGAGAGCAAGACGCATCGGCTGATCCAAACCAGACTGTTCAGGCTTTTATTGATCTTTGCCAACGACATGAGCACAACTTTTACAAGTTTGTCCACGAAGTGCATACTCACGATAACGGCCTCTTCACACAGCTTATGGGCTGGATCGAAGGTATCCTCGAGTTCTTACGAAAGGGCCCTAAGAACGGGACCCTTAATGTCAACGCCTTGTTCGAGGGCGGTGTCAGCGCTGGAATTCTGGATAAAGACAAGGCAATTGCAGAGATCAACTCTCTTATTGCATGGCAAGAGGCCCGAAAGAAGTGGCACAATGATAAAACGAGACAGAAGATGGCAGCCGAGGGCCATGCAGGAAGTGACATGATGCCAACGGCGATGGCTTTCAACTCATCAGACTTTGGATTAGACAGCGAAGACCTCGAGGATATGGCTTATGATGATGGCTCAGAAGATGAGGCAGAGGCAGAAGCAGAAGATGAGTTGGACCCCATCGAGGCTGAGAGGCGACGCAGAGCTAAGCGACAGGATCGCTTGCGACGAAGCGCTGGAGAGCCCGTTAAGCCTCCCGTGGGAGAAGTTCACAAGCTGACCGACAATTTCCTGGTCATGCTTCGTGAGGTATTATCGAATTAGATTTAGTAAGATATCCTTGTTGCGGTTGCATACGACTTAGGAGAAAGAGACGGAGTTGGCTGTGCTGATTCTGGCAGTATAAACGTACAGAGCGCCATGATTATAAAGTCAGGGAATGGTGGAGAATGGTAGAGCCAGTAGACGTCAAAATTCTATCTTTAATAATCTTGTTGAGTCTCCTGGTGTTTAAATGTGATGTGTCTCATATTTTATTGTGGCCTGAGAGGTCCAAGACCAAGGAGTCGAAAACGAAGGTGTGATTGGGAATGCTTTTATATGTATATCACAAGTTCTAAGGTTTCCATAATAATGCTTAGGTCAAGCGTAGTCTTTATTGTTTGAGCCCATCACAGGAGAAAGAGGACTCTTTTCACATTCTACTTGAACCCTGTCCCCGGGGAGCAAGAAAATATAGACCTTGATAGACGGTGTCAGGATACCCTTTGCTGGGTTTATTTTGAGTCTATACTAAACTTATGCTAAGTTACATAAGTCTTTTTATCACTTAGGATCAAGGCACTGGGTTTTCTTTCCTCCCTTTGCCTGTGAGTTATTAAGGCTGTACGGAGTAGACTACAGTACGAAAACCGGACTTTGATGACCGGCCCCGAAAATTGGTTCCGGGCCGGGTCGTGTTGTTGTGACTGACAGCAGCTGGAGGTGGAGCCGTCAGCACATGCCGTTGGTATCGGAATAGGCGGGGGAAACGGGGAGCCGAAGGGCAAAATGTACATCCGCGGACACGTGATGAGATCCAATTGTCTTGAACGTCATGGATTTGTTAGACTCGCAAAGGCGAATCTTCCCGATCCATTGGGCTTTGATGTCGGACGAAGATCGAAGGAGGACAATAATGGATGTAGTATCATGAAAAACTGTTGAAAATTAAAAAACCAGTTGGCTTCGACAACGACGCACCTCGGACTCAAGGAGCTCTATCATTTGACTGCACAGTGAGCCCAGCACAGGTCATTGACTTCCGAGTCCCTATATCTTCAGTGGCCTACAGCGTCCACGCCCAGCAGGCGGCGAATAGTCGGTGCTAATAAGCCAACGCTGATTGGTTGGATCAACCGAGGAGCCGAGAGAATCCGTCCGATCGAGGCTCGCGAAGGACGAGAGACCCAAAAAAACATCAAGGGGAATTGTCGATTGGTTGGACAGTCAATTCAATCCATTCTCTCTCTCCTCCAAAACCACATCTAACAAAAGTCCTGCTCCTCCGCCACCCGAAGATATCGTCAAATACCACCCTTTCGATTCTCCCCGCGGATGCAGTTTGGTCTTGGTCATAGTGACTTTAGTTGATGATGGCTTCTTCTATGGCAATGAGGAGATTGGCCGTCGGCCCTGCTGTGAGTAGTCCCTGGTCTGGCCTCTGCGATGGCATCATGAAACCGATTGTCCACCGCAGGAGCTTCGTCAGCTCATCAATGCGCTTTGCTAACCTCTTGATAGTTCACGCGGGCTGCTAGGTTCCCTTCTCGAGCTTTCTCCACCACTCGACCTGTTGGTACGCTTTTCTCCGAATGCTATGCGCAGCTTTAAAATACTGACGAGCTGTCCACAGCCCGAGTTATCACAGGCAATGGTCCTCTACGAGCCAAGGAGGCCTCTCCTTTCGTGAGCAACAAATACGCCGTCATCGTACGTCTACCCGATCATCCGCGAATCACAGATCTCGTCAATTGACACTTTTTAGGACCACGAGTATGATGCTCTCGTCGTTGGTGCTGGTGGTGCCGGTCTGCGAGCTGCTTTCGGTCTCGCCGAGGCTGGCTTCAACACTGCCTGTATCTCCAAGCTTTTCCCTACTCGATCTCACACCGTCGCCGCCCAGGGTGGTATCAACGCTGCCCTAGGTAACATGCACGAGGATGACTGGCGATGGCACATGTACGATACCGTCAAGGGTTCCGACTGGCTGGGTGACCAGGATGCTATTCACTACATGACCCGAGAGGCCCCCGCTTCCATTATCGAGCTTGAGAACTACGGCTGCCCCTTCTCGCGAACTGACGATGGCAAGATGTGAGTCTGGACTTTGAAATCCGCCCACACAACGGCTACTGACAATTCCATCAGTTACCAGCGAGCTTTCGGTGGCCAATCCAAGGAGTACGGAAAGGGTGGACAGGCTTACCGATGCTGCGCTGCTGCTGACCGAACCGGCCACGCCCTTCTTCACACGCTCTACGGACAGTCCCTCCGACACAAGACCAACTACTTCATCGAGTACTTCGCCCTCGACCTGATTATGCAGGATGGTGAGTGCCGCGGTGTCCTCGCCTACAACCAGGAGGATGGCACCCTGCACCGATTCCTTGCCAACCACACTGTTCTCGCTACTGGTGGTTACGGACGAGCCTACTTCTCTTGCACATCTGCCCACACCTGTACTGGTGACGGCATGGCCATGGTTGCCCGTGCCGGTCTCCCCAACCAGGATCTCGAGTTCGTCCAGTTCCATCCTACCGGTATCTACGGAGCTGGTTGCCTGATTACTGAGGGTTCTCGTGGTGAGGGTGGTTACCTCCTCAACTCCGAGGGTGAGCGATTCATGGAACGATATGCTCCTACCGCTAAGGATCTTGCTTCTCGTGATGTCGTTTCTCGATCCATGACCTTGGAGATCCGTGAGGGACGTGGTGTTGGTGCTGAGAAGGATCACATCTACCTCCAACTCAGCCATCTCCCCGCTGAGATCCTTGCTGAGCGTCTGCCCGGTATCTCTGAGACCGCCGGTATCTTCGCTGGTGTTGATGTCCGCAAGCAGCCCATTCCCGTTCTTCCTACCGTCCACTACAACATGGGTGGTATTCCTACACGATACACTGGTGAGGTTCTTACCGTTGACGAGAAGGGTGAGGACAAGGTTGTCCCTGGTCTGTACGCTTGCGGTGAGGCCGCTTGTGTGTCTGTCCACGGTGCTAACCGCCTGGGTGCCAACTCTCTTCTCGATCTTGTTGTCTTCGGCCGTGCCGTTTCGCACACCATTCGTGACAAGTTCAACCCCGGTGACGCCCTGAAGCCCGTTGCCGCTGATGCCGCTTCCGACCACATCGAGGTCCTCGACAAGGTCCGAACTGCTGATGGTCCCAAGAGCACCGCTGAGATCCGACTTGCCATGCAGAAGGCTATGCAGACTGATGTCAGCGTTTTCCGAACCCAGGAGAGTTTGGATGAGGGTGTTCGCAAGATGACGGAGATTGATGCCATGTACAGCCAGGTTGGCATGAAGGATCGCAGCATGATCTGGAACTCTGATCTCGTCGAGACCCTTGAGCTCCGCAACTTGCTCACCTGCGCGTAAGTTTTGACTCTTTCATGACACACTCAAGTAATACTGACACTTTATACAGCATCCAAACTGCCACCTCTGCCGCCAACCGAAAGGAGTCTCGTGGTGCTCACGCCCGCGAGGATTTCCCTGAGCGAGATGACGAGAACTGGATGAAGCACACTCTTTCTTTCCAGAAGGAGCCCCACGGCAAGGTCGACCTGTCATACCGAAAGGTCATCGCCAACACCCTGGACGAGGCCGAGTGCAAGCCCGTGCCACCCTTCAAGCGTGTGTACTAAGCGATTGCGAAGGAAGTACTTGGGAAGGAGTTTTTGTTAGCTTGTTGGGAAACTTGGCATGCATGATTCTACGCAGGACAGCGTCTCCTTTGTGACAAGATGTGCGGTATATATATCCTTTGGGAAGAGGAGGCGGACATGATAAGCAGCGAGAGAATGGTCTCTGTTGGGTCTTAGGATGAAGACTTGGCAAGGGACGTGTATTTGTCGACATTTTGTAGTTCAAAAGAAGTTAAGAGACTTAAAAAGAAGATTTATTATGTACCTTGTGTCACTGTGTCTACAGCCCATCGTTTTTCTTGGTAAGTTTGAAACATTCGTTCAAGAGCATAGGTAATTTTGGTTCTCTCTTAACCCATGTTTATCATTAGACCCGCCAAATGTTGATCTAATTCTTGGAGGCTACAAGTTGGACCCAATTTTGAATTTCTTAGGGGCACCGCACCCAATTCAATGATCGATGGGCAGAATAGTGCGTTCACGTATTTGATGGAGTTGTGTCTGCGGTGACTAGGCATATGCCATTGTTCCCTCCGTCCAACGCTGAGGTGTTTCTGTTGTTCAGGAGGAGTGTAGTCCAGAACAAAGAGTCTCAATACAATCCTGACATACAAAAGGCAACGTTCATTGAATTTACTAATTACAGTGAATTGTTGCAATGGTCATCTCTATTATAAAATGGCACATTCTTTCGTCGCCGTAGTCTCAAACCTGCAGCCCATCTCAACTTCTTACGCACTAGACTTCGCATCTCAGCAGCCAAACCCAAGTCTCGTACTAAGCTCGTCACCACTTCCCTCCAGGTACGCAGTAGGATCTCATAAACATTACGTGACTACAAATATTACCTCTCACTAGGCCTTCCCCATCCAACATGTGCCGTCAAGTCATCCGCGTTGCCTCGTGCTGGCTCTGTAACTCCAGACTCGAACCCTTTGGCCGATTCTTCCCTTGCGGCAATGTGATCACTGCAGGGAAAAATGGCTGCGACATTATGGATCTAGAGGAAAACGTCGGCCCTGGGGATTTGCTGTGTCATATGTGCCTTAGGATCACTGATGGGGAAAACAAGCTCAACGAGAAACAGAAACTACCTGGGTCCCCCAAGATGGCTGGAAGATGTGAGTTGGAAGTGATCGGTTAGAAAATGGACATTGAACGCTGCTGAGACTGGAAACTAGGAACAGGATAAAAAGGATGTAGTGGTGGCAGGGGTATATGCTATGCTTGTGTCTTATGGTGGGTGTTATATCTCTAAATGGTAAAATGCGTGGGAAACGAAACGCAACTTGCTAGCTGTCAACCAGCACGACTATCTGTTTGAGACAGAATCTTGGCTAAATAACAATCCTTCTTCTTCATCTCTGGGTATATCCTCCTCATTCCTCGCATAGTCGCTTCGTGATGTGGATGGCTTTGCTTGTGTTCTCTCGTAGTAAGCCACGAAAACTAGAATCATTTGAACGAGACTAAGGCAATAATTGTAAGTCAGAAAAATGAAACTATGATGTTTTCTTGCTCCCCGAGGTCATAGTAGTAGTATTAGACTTACGCTTTGGTGATGCCGAAACATCCAAGGGCTCGTCTCCCAAGATGTGACTCGTCTGTGCTTGGGGCCGAGCCGGAAACTGCGCGATCCGGAGGACCGAAATAGCCACAGAGGAGTGACAGGATTGCAAAGAAAACGGCTAATGGAAGTTCGATGCAGATTCGTGTGGAGGGGCTAAAACTGTGGTATCTTCTGGTCCAGAGATGGATAGAGTCCGCAAAGTTCCATATCAGAGCAAGGGTAGTCTAAGTTGCTTCCTCGTTAGTAGGTGGGAGAGCCATGATAATAGATAGGTACGTACGAAAAACCCAAAGAAAATGATAGAGGTTGTTCCATCAATAGAACTAGAGGCCAATAAAGAAACAATGATAAGAAGAAGAGCGTCAACACAGATGGAGAAGAGACGAAGGTTGAGTCTGGCCTTCAATATATGGTCTTTGGCTGGGAGAGATGATGTATCGTGAGCTGACAACGGCTGTACCTCCTGAGACCGGTCTAAAGGTTGATCTTGTGTTGGTGTTGAGGCTTGTTTAGGAGTAGAATCGAAGTCGTCACGATACTGTGGTCCAGCCGTTGTAAGTGGAATAGCCATCCTGCAGGTACGACTTCACTCGATCAACAGAGGTCCAATGCCAAGATATGGAAAGAAGAAGATTGATGCGAGCAGACGAGATTACATAAGAGCAGAGCCGTCATCTTTTAATGCTTACCGCTCGAAACATAGTTAACGTTGGAACGAATCCTGAGGGAAGATGGATATATGTCTAGAGCCAGAGGACCCCTGTTCAGCTACCCGCGTACCCGTGCCACGCCAAATGAGGGGCTCATGGAGGCTCAGCTTCCGAGAGTCTCTTTTAGTAGCCAAACTGAACTGACAAGGCAATCCCCTGTCAAGGTTCATAACTATGCCTATCGTCTCTTGGCGATGTTGCATTTTGAGGCTGATCCCAAGTGATTGACGGGATATTGCGGCGGTGACTAGTGGAACTGTCGGCCCGTTGTCCGTCTACCTGTAGAACAAACATCTCTATTTTAAACCGTAATTATACTGTTTACTTTACTTTACTTTTCCTCCTTCCTATTCTGCTCTTCACCTTGTTCTTCATCTTCTGTTTGTGTTTGTGTTATCACGGGCTTCTCTCGTCGAGGATGCCAACCTCCTGTCCAGCCGATCCATCCCTTTTCCCTGGGTCCTCTCGCGACCGCAATCAAGATGGACAACCCAACGAATGCAACTGTTGATGATCACATTAGCAATTTGCTTGCGACAGAAGAGACCGCCGAGTTGACTTACTGCTGCATCCGCCGCTTCTCCTCCAGCCTCCACTCGCATATAGTCTGTTTCCCACTGCCGTGCCAGTCAATTGTCCAGCAAACACCAGGGCCATGTAAGCCGTGTTAACTCTATTACGCGCCTTGGGATTGATGCTGAAGATGGCTGCACGGTTAGACACTGCTGCTGTCTGCATACCCACATCGATACCGATAGCCTGAATCACAAGGCCGGCAACGGTAAAGTTTCCAGTGAAAGTTCCGACGATAGCTCCAGTCAACGCCAGGATCTGGCCGCCTATCGTGGGGAGTAGAGGTATGTAACGATCAATCAACCTCCCAATCAAGGGGATCGACAAGATAGTCGCAAGCGCAGTCAGAGAAAAGAGACCAATCTGTAGGGATGTATAATCGTAGGGCGGAGAAGCGAGTAGAAACGTCAGTGTTGTCCAGAACGACGTGAACACAGCTGACAGCGAAAAGGCAATGAGACAAGCCTGTATCAGAACAGGTTCAGTGACCATCATACGAGGAATAGACCAGAGAGCATAGAGATAGTTCAGCCCATCCGGATTGGTAGATGGATAGTCAGGCATGAAGCAGAAGAGCACAACCCCCATGAGGTACTGCAGACCGCAGGCCAGCCAGTAAATGTTGCGCCAACTTGTGAAATTCGCTACCACTCCGGAGAGCAACCTCGCCATCAACAGACCCAGCATAAGTCCTGATGTGACAATAGCGAGGAGAGATGCCTTTCGATGCGCTGGCGCAAAGTCTCCCACTAGGGGAACCATCAGCTGTGGTGTCACTGTGGTGGCACCGCATACAAAAGATAAGGCACGGAAGACGGTAAAGTCATTTGTCACACAGAGTCCTATCCACTATATGATGTCAGCTGCTGAATATAGCAACATGTTGCACAGAGCTTACCATTGTTGCAGTGGCCAGAACAAGGGCGATGATGAACGGGCGTCTTTCGAGAATATCCCCGAGTGGTAGAACAAAAATGAGACCAGCTGCGTAGCCCGACTGCAACAGCGTTGCAACCTGGGATGATTCTTCGTATGAGACATTGAAAGTGGCGGCTATCTTGTTGAGAATTGGCTGGTTGTAGTATAAGTTTGCAACTGTGATACCTGATGCCTATTTCTGTTAGCTAGCATGAGCTTCAATAGTTGAGGTGATTTACTTGCCAAGGCGTAGAGACAGCAGTGCCTCATAGACAAAGCTGGTGGCGACTCATCGTTCCATCGACAATTCTTTGGTGTCAATATCCTACGAAGTAAACTCGTTTCATACTTTGAAGACTGCAACACGACGTTGCTGGAGCCCGTTACTTCAGTTGACTCGATTGAATTGCGAACCTTGGTGTCCTCGGCTGAATCTTGACTCGGAAATGTTTCCGTGATGCTATCACCAGAGACATTTGGTCTCTCAGGTTGATTCGAGGACGTCATCGTTGCTCAACAGACACGTTGATGAGAGTTAAACAGAAACAAACGGTGATCAACAAATAGTCAACATGCTAAGAAACCCGAAAAAGGCGTCTCTTTGTGGGAGTTATATAAGAGATGATCAACAATGGCAAAAATTTAGCATGATCAATAGTCGTCAAAGTGGATTATTGTCTAACTACATATCCCCAATGGAGTTGCGGAATCGCAAGCACGGAGTTGGCTAGCTATCTAATCAGAAAGCACGCAAGACAACGGACGGGGGGTTACGACATTCTGCTTCTTTTCCTCCTTTTGCCCATGGAAATGGGGGTCAACTAATGTTATGCTGCTTGGAGAGGTTGACCGGATATAAATGTCCGTAATATCCGCCTCTAAGAGTGTCAGCAGCTTTATTGCAACCCTAGACGTGTAATACAGTTCGGGTTCCGTATGCAGCCATTGAAGACTGTAGCTCAAATTTAATTAAGCTCAGATGAATCGTTACGAAGGGTCTTATCATCATAGACTTTGGAAGCCAAAGAATGAAAGTACCCATATATAAGCCATTGTGATGGATTATGGCTAGGTCATCAGAAGTCTGGGGTCGTTGTAAAGGCTAAAGTACAGCTATAATGCCAAAGGCCAAGCAAACTAGAGCTGGAATTGGTATTGTTATATACGAGGCTTGTCTACGAACCGTCTTCGCTCTCATCCCAAATATCACTGATAGTCGGCACATGAAGGCCCAAAGCAAAGAGTCTTTACACAAGGCATATCCCAAATCTAGTCCTTTTCATGAATGGCATCTACTATAACATGGCAAGCATTTTAAGATTTAATCGTCCTTTTGACAAAATACATCCTCCCCGTTTCACACCAACTCCATCCACTCCAAGCCCCAGCCAACTTTTGTTAGAAAGCATTCCCAAAGTTTACCTCTTCTTTCCCTTGCGCTTGTTAGCCTTGCCCTGCGAAGCGCCAGATGCCTTGGCCTTGGTGAGGGAATCAGTGCTCTTGTCAAGAAGCTCAAAGTCCTCGCCGGCAGAGTCGGTGCTGGGGGTGGGCTGGGGAACATCAGAGTCCTCATCCTCAGCGGGGATCTCGATCTCGAGGCCGGTGGGCTTCTTGGAAAGGAAGCGACCAGCAGTGATGTTGAACAGGAAGATGGGAGCGCGGAAGACTGCGGTGTCCTTGATGGTGGGCTTGGCAAGCTCGTTGGGCTGTCACATGTTAGTTTAGTCATTTCGATGAGACTGTGATAACTTACATCAAGGAGGAACTCGTGGACCTCGCCCTCCTCATCCTCTCCCTCGAGGTAAACATCACCAAGGGAGTCAACAACAAGGATCTTGCCATTCTCAGCAACAACTCGCTTACGAGCACCAGTAGGTCCAGCAGCAGGGGTAGGAGTAGCAGTTCCAGAGGAAGCCTGAGCAGCACGGCGCGTCTTCTTAGCAGGACGAGCCCCATCGCGCTTGGCCGCCTTCTCCTGCATACGGCGCTCTCGTCGGTTCTGGGGCAGAGGGGGAGCCTCTTCCTCGTCGCTAGCGGGCGCGGGAGATGCAGCAGGGGCTGGAGCCGGAGCTGCGTCGACGCCAGGGATGTTAAGACCACCACCCCAAGCGGTGTCACGGGCGAACTTGATGTAGCGCTCGACAAACTCCTTCTGTCGCTTCCAGCTCATGTACAGAGTGAGGTAGTGAAAACCACCACCTACAACGAGGAAAAGGCCAACGATAACCGTGCCCAGGCCGGGGCGGTATCGGTTGTAGTAGTAATCGGTGCCCTTCCAGAGAGGGAAGCCATTGGAGAGGAAATGGTCGTATCGGTCGCGCTCGGGGCCACGGAGGATGTTGGCGATGAGGGAGAGACGAGCCTGAGCCTCGCCGGCCTTCTTCACAGCAGCCTTGATCTCAGCATTGGTAGGAGGCTTAGTCTTTGCGCCAGCCTTCTTGTCCTTTGCAGCCTTGGATCGCATTCCCTGTCTGACCTTGTCCGGGTGCAGATTTCGGGTCTGCTTGCGATAGGCCTTGGTAATATCATCGAGCGAGGCAGAGGGAGGGACGCCGAGGATGTCGTAGAAGTTGGCAGCAGGATCGGTCTCATACTTTGAGATCTCATCTCGAATGCGAAAGATTTCGCGATCTGGGAGGATGGGAATTAGTTAAGACATGAACCAGAGGGTAGTCCAGAGTAAAACATACCTTCTTTGCTCCAGGCGGCTGCCAAGGGGCTGAAGAGGGCGAGAAGCCCAACAGACAAGTACGAGATCTTCATCTTCAACCGTCGATGCGATGAAGAAGAGATGAAGAAGCGGTACAGCAAAAGGGAAAAGGAAAAAAAGAAGACAGAGAGGAAGAGATGAAATGAGAGAGGGCAGGGGGCTGTAACGGTTCCTGGGCTAGAGCGTAGCTTAGATCTTCATCCCTACCTACCTCTAGGTACAATACTTTTTTTTAGTGGAGGGGGGGAACCTATTGCAGAAGGCCAGCTGTCCTATACTGACTGCACTGGCCAAACTCACCCAATACAAACGCAAAGGAAAGCGCCTCAATTGAGGAGTTTGGCCAAACACAGGTGATTAGACGGGCTGTGATAGCATATTGCAAATAAATCAATTGTTGCTGTAACGATTGTTTGTAGCTTTTTGGAGGCAACAAGACCCTTTATGTTGCACTATTTGGGGTTGTATAACAAGGGTTCAAGCATGTCTACCCCTTCGGATACATACAATGGGCCTTTTTCAATTATTGATCCCTATTCAAAGCCATAATATCAACTGCCGGTGTCATACATGTCGACTCGATACTCGGACTCTTGCTGCAAATGACGCTTGAAGAAGTCCCTTTGACGAGCAAGACCATACTTCCCTCCTCCACAGCCATGTCCACCACCAGGAATAAATAGAAACTCATAATTCTTGCCCGCCTTGTTCAAGGCATTTGCCATCTGAAACGTTGAAGATGGATCGACATTATCGTCCAAATCTCCAACAATCAGCATCAAGGGCCCCTTGAGTTTCTTCGCGTGAGTTATGTTAGACGCCTTCCCATACGCCTCATCAACTGGGTATCCCATCCACAGCTCGTTCCACCACAGCTTATCCATGCGGTTATCATGACAGCCTGAATCTGCGATGCCGGCCTTGAAGAAATCACTGTGATGAAGCATCCCTGCTACAGCGTTCTGTCCTCCTGCTGAAACGCCCATGATTCCCACTCGAGAGAGGTCCATCCATGGCCGTGAAGATGCCGCAGCTTTCAACCAAGCGATATGGTCTGGAAGTCCTGAATCATCAATATTCTTATAGCAGACATCATGAAAGCCTTTGTTGCGCCAGTTTGTGCCCATTCCGTCAATTATCACGACGATGTACCCTTCATCTGCCCATCGCCGTCGATCCGAGAGAGTTGAAAATGCTTTGGGGACCCGAAAGTTATGAGGCCCCGCATAGATCTCATCAAACACGGGATATTTCTTGGTGCTGTCAAAGTCCACGGGCCGAATGATGATTCCGTATATAAGTGTCTTGCCATCCCGGCCAGGGGAAGCGAACCTCTCGGGAGAAGACCATCCCTTATCTTCCAGCTCTTTCGACTCAACCTTCTCAAGTGTCATTATCTCTTGCCCAGACTCGCTGTCACGGAGGACCGTTGTAGGTGGACAGTCAAGCCTTGACCAAGTGTCTATCAAGTAACGCTTGTCTGGAGAGAAAGACCAAGAGTGAGTTCCATCTCCATCTGTGAGGATCTTGAAATCTGATCCATCGAAATTGACGCTTGCTAGATGTGCATGATAGGGGTCCTCACCGTCTTTGAGTCCATAGCCTCGCACCCAAATTCGACGACGCTCCTTGTCCACAAACTCTACAAAGTTGACCATCCATGACCCCTTTGTGATCTGGTTCTTGACCGAGCCAGTGACGAGGTCGATCAGATACAGATGATTATATCCGTCACGCTCACTAGCCCAGATGAGTTCGTCAGAATCTCTAAGGAGCTTGAAGTACGACTTCGTATAGTCTACAAACGTGTGGCTCTCCTCTTCTATGAGCGCCCTGACACTTCCGTCAACTTTGATACCAACGACTCTGGTATGTTGATGTCCACGCTCGTTGATATAAAAGAGATATTCCTGATTATTACGGTTCCATTCCAGATTGCTTACTTGGTAGGGATTCTTGAACAGCGAATCATCAGTCGCAACTTCGCTGTGACTCTTGAGGTCAAAGAGCCGAGGTCTGTCGATCCTAACACGGTCGCCGGGCTTGCGGTATGACTTTGTGTGAAGTTTTGGCTCAATCTGGTCTTCTGGAGATGATTCCACCAGATTGATCTTGTGGTCTTGCCCGGGGGTGTACTGCCATGCGACTGCATGCTGCTTGTCTGGCGATATGTACAAGTGTCTTTTGTCGTATGGACTCTTTTCGTTTCCATTCTCAGATAGCTGAAAGGCTTCATCGTTCTCGCTTTTGAACCATACATTGAACTCTTTGATGTAGAGACATGGTCCGTTTTCGGGTTCCGTTGGTTCTTCATCAGTTTCAGAATCTTCATCGTCGCTGGGCGGGGATGCCTCAGGGATAGAGTCGCTGAGATGCTCGATGACAGCGACATGATTCCCCTCGTCAGGTGCTGAATAGACTGCCCTGTATTTTTCGTTCGACACATCGACCAGTCGCCAAACATGGCCCACGTATGTAATCTGTCGTTTGGTTTCGCCGTTCTTGATCGACATATACGGAACAGCTTTTGCTTTCCAATCTATCCAACACACCCTGAGGGTTTTGCCTGTGCGATTCACAAAGTCGACAGTGACTTGAGTGCCACTGTGTGCAGAAATCACTTCTTTTTGGAGCAGATGATCTGGTTCAGTGGTGAATTGTCCCTCCCATTCTTGAAGCAGGTTATTTGGCCCAAACTGCCACTTTCGATTGCCAAAGCGAAACCGAACACACGACTCGTCTGGGGCCGGTTCAAACCAGTTGAAAGAAAGAGAAAATTGGTCAACTTCTTCGCTTGTCTTCTCGCGCAGAGCCTCAGCGAGTTGCTTATGGTCAAACGCTAACTCGCGACTCTTTCCACGGACATCAACAAAGAGAAACTGGTATTTGTTTGGTGAGATATTCTGCTTATACCAAAATGCGTCGCCGCCTGGTAACCAGCGAGGCGTCACGTTCGTCGAGTCGATGCATTGCTGTGCTAGTTGCTCCATGACTTGATTGATACAGCTAAAGAATAAAGATGAACGTGAGGTTCAAGAGGAGCAAGCATGAGATGCTGTTGCCTAGACATGGTCATGGTCATCTTTTAGCTGAGGCATGCATGCGTCTGCGGGTAGTCCTATTGGGTGTCACGCGGTCATGAGCGGAATTCTATACATTTACTAATTTTAGGACGACTCTAATCTTGGGCCTCCTTAAGATAGGACATCAAGATTTAAGAGAATCCGTACTCGTATGCAGTAACGCCTGGTCAATACTGTCTTCTCCTTGTTACTAAGTCAGTACAAGTTGGTGAGCTAATGGATATAATCAACAGACTTATTTATACCTTATCAAGCACGTACATATGACTGAACTTAAACCAGAAGTCATTTTCGAATTATCTACTCCTTCTATCTATTGTCAATTATACATAAAGAAAGAGGCTTTCCATGTGTTGCAGTAATGAATAACCAGAGATTGCATGTAAGTTGCCAGTCACGTGCTAAAACAGCCCGCCCACCAGAAACTAGTGTAAAACCACCACCAAAAAGAAACCATGAAGCGAGAACAACTCAAAATACCAAAACCAAAATGAGAAAAATCACCAAAAAAATAGAAACCTAGCAATTGCACGTTTCGATCGTGCGACCTCCGGGTTATGAGCCCGGCTGGGTCTGTTAGTACAAGTTGTGTGATGCAGATTGTGAGATAGACATACCGCGCTTCCACTGCGCCAAATTGCTTTCTTGGTGAAAGACTGTGGGCTTATTTGAACATATACCTCCACCCTAGTGTAACTTACTGACACCCCCACTGCTCTCAGAGTCACCAGTGAGAACACAGTGTTGGACGATCGAGAACATATGTAGAGTTGCTAAAGAGCTGAAGCGAAAGTCAAAGAGCCTATTCGAATCTCATTAAAATGCCATAGTATGGAATACTAATCCCCATTGCGCAGAGTTGGTTGGATGCTAGTTTCGCCTGGAACATATATCCAACGTTCTCCTCAGCCTCCCACAATGAGCCTCGGCCGACATCAGGATATTTTTCATCTCATAAAATTCGGATCGCATCATGCAATATTGCTATCGAAACATTCGCAACCCAAAATGCGAGTTACCAGAACGAGAGCTTTAGGATGCTGTACCACAAGTATAGAATGTTCTCAGGTGCAGCTCTGCTCCTGAACAAGGAGTCCTCAACACAACCGTCAAACCTCAGGTCTACACATGTGAACCAGTCTTTTCCCAGAGCCAGAAACGTTCCCAAAGTTGTTGAGCCCTTTTTAAAAAAAAAACTCGCACTGAACAATGACAGTACGCAGACTCACGAGCTCAGTCAGATATCCTGAAGGACTCGTGTCACTGGCGACGCGAATAGCGACCTCAGCCATTAGAATTCGAGTTGTATTATCTAGCTAGTAACGCACGCAATGTGATAAAAGAGCCACTTCAATTGAATAAAGACGTAACTAGCATGCCGTCTTACCGATGCAGCACCGGCATGTACTAGACATATATGCCCCAATATGATACAAAGCAACTATACGCTTGATCCCTTAGCAATGTCATTGAGCTTTTGTAATGCCCCCAACCAAGAATTTCACTCTGCAAAGAGATTCGCCTAGAGCCACCTTGAGCTCTTTGGGTCGCATCCACACAGCAAACATGACCCCATCCCCTATTCATTCCTCGGCCTCAACGTAGTCGCTGTCGCTATCGGTGTCGGTCATATCAATGATGTTGTTTCCATGGTTGTTGTTGTTATTGTTGTTCAATGGTTGAGGAGAGCCCATATGTACGTCGTCCTCGTCATCAGTATCGTTCTGACTGGCAGAGTCGAAAGCGACACTTCCAGAAGCAATGCTCTTGTTCTTGTAGAAGACCTGAAAGTCCAAGGAGGACCCATCGCTGATCATGCGCAGTTCGTAAGTGATTCGGTGGAACACCTGGCCGGCTTCGTTGGTCCACACTGGTATGGTATCCCATCTGGGAAGTTCGGACGCCTTGATGATACACATGGGTTTGACTGAATCGTCCTTGCGGGTCGGGGGAGTAGAAGCGTCTGAGGTAACGATGTCGATTTGGAGATCATCGTCGGGGCTCGTAAGGTCCTGCCAGAAGGATGCACAAACGGGGTCATATGTAGATACAGAGGAGCCCTAGAGAAGTTAGAGGCTAACATAAACGGGTTCATTTGACTTACGATCTCAACAAACCACCGTGTCTGTTCGACAGCAAGGAACTCCCGCTGGCCTTCATCCCAAACCCGGTCCTTGGTGTCATGCTCTTTGGCGTCAAAGGGCAAGATGTTCACGAGGGTCCCGTAACTGTGACGAGACACACGTGAGGCAACGGTAACTTTGATTGAACTGGTATGGTTGGTTCTCGCCAGTCCATGTAGGACAGCTCCTCGAAGCACAGCAGTCCAGCTACACATAATTGTCAATCAACGGAATTTCAAGAAGCGCCAAGGAGACCTACGGCTTTTCACCGTCCTGTTGAAGAACGTCTATTCTGTGGCCGACGGCATCCTGAAGGCGTTGATGCAAATAAAGAGACCTTCCAAAGCCACCAACTAGGATGACGAACTACAAAATGTTAGGCAGTTTGTCATTGAATGAGATGACGAACAGACTTGCCTTTGGCTTCTTCTTGTACTTTTGCTTGACTGCGTCAACCTGCTTCTGAACGAGCTGTTTAACCTGTTCGACCACGGGGTCAAACACTTTCTCGCGGATTTCGGAACTAGCAATCAGTTAGCTAGGACGAGGTAGATATAATGAAGACGTCCGTGAAGGTATTGTTGGAAATTTGCGAACATTCCCAGGGTAACAATATGGGGTCATTTTGAGGCACTTACACATCGATGTTGAACTTGGAGGGGAAGAAGTCGGTGTCCATGGGGTTGTCGTACGAGAGTTGTAGGGGCAAGTCTCCGCTGGACTTGCAGAATGAAGACTTCAAGCCGCTCTCCCAATCAGACTCTATGATCTTGGGGAAGGTCTGTTTATCAAGCCTACTCTGAGCCTCAAGAGGGATCATTTTCTTTAGTAGCTTTAGAAACCTCTCGTCGAGGAACATGGCACCACATAAGCCACCTTGGTTGAGGTCAGTCAAACGTGCATCGCACAGCGGCCCAGATGACTTACCATCGCCTTTGACGCTCTCACTAATAATGAGAGGATCAAGCTTCTCGATTTTGTAGGTGATGAGGTCCTATTTTGTAAGAAACGTTTCGCAAGGAGAGAAAAGCTGAAACTTACAACAGTCCCTCCTCCTGCATCACAGATGACGAAATGGTCACCGACCTAAACATGGTTAACTACAGACCAGTGATAAAAGGGCATTTTCAACTCACTCTGACATTGAAGCGATCGGCGTTCTCCTTGAGACAAGTCAAAGCAGCCGCCTCGGGCTCAGAGATAAAGTCCAAAGTTGTATGTCCAGCTTTGGTGATGTTAAGAAGACCGGCGTGTCCCAGAGCCTCGGTCATTCTGGAACGAACGTAGTATGGCCATATAGCCGGGAGAGTGACAACAAGGTGAACTGTCGAGACCCTCATCATTCGGCGACCCTCAGCCCTGATAATGTTCTCACGACAATGACGCCAAAGCTGTCGCAGGTAGTCGCCCAAGATCTGGACTGGAGTCTTGTTAGCCTTCAACATCAGAGCCCGAGCTGTCTTCAGCTGAACAGAGTGTCGGATATGATCTGGGAGATCTTTCTCATCGACGAGAAGGAGCTTGAACCAGCGAAGGACAGTGTCATCCTGTGGAGTTGTCGCGCCCCATTCGGGGTCTTCATCATTCAGGTGATGATAGAAAATCGCCGAGGGGACCTTCTGCTTGTCTCCCTGGGCGAACCTTCGCTTTTTCCAGTTTGTGGTGAACTTGATTTCGTTGTTTTCGCCGACTCGACACCACGCGATGCCTGAGTATCTTTATGGAAGACGTTAGAGAGTGTAGATCAGGAAGGGATGGTTACTTACGTGGTGCCAAAATCGATGCCCAGCACCAAAACTGGGCTCGCTTGTTCAGCAGCCATGCTGGATCACTGTAAAGCTATCTACTCGACTCAACGACAGCGTGATAGGATGCCGCAAAGTATCTTCTCGGGGAAGAAAGAAGCCGGGATAGCTGCATGTGCTTCAGAGAGTGGCAGGTCGTAATGTGGTGTTTTGTGGTAAAGGGGAGGATGCGAAAGTGGTTCGGAAAAGAAGCGGAAACGGCTGAGGGTGGAATTTTGCAAATGGATAGCAACAATGACTTCTAAATATCCAGTACAACGGACAATAGCTTGACTTAACTACCCCCCACTGCAGCCCATTCATTGCCAGGGGTTCAAGCTATAAACACGATCCAATATAGCTGCCCTCAAATTGACTTTCTTTCGCATATGTACTAATCAATAGAGTGACAATAGAGACTGTGTTTCCCTTCAGGAATTTCGTGAAACTACCCCAAGGGCAAGGCATGATGGTAATGTTCCATGGCTCGAGACAGTCATTGTTGACAAGATCCATATTGGCAGAGCCTCTCGGAAGATCATGAATGCTAATATGATCATCAGTATTCGAATACAATAGCCCCGTATTTCAGCACTTGTAGGATTGCTCAATATTCGGATCTGGAGGGCACTGGAGGAGCAGGTTGAATGAGGCAAGCTAGGAAGAACAAAGTCTCTGCCATATTGCTGCCAGTCCGCGCATTGTAACTTGAAGAAATATGCAATGCAAACATGGTGGGCAAGATTCTTGTCATGGCTCCCTGTGCGCACTTGATTAGTGATATGAAGTTGGACGACGTCCAAGTTGATGCTCGGAAGATATATCCACCGGCCTCTCTTGAAGTTAAGGTAGCGGGCACTTGGACCCTGAAGTGGCAGCTGAATTGCGGATCTGATCCGTGCGCAACATAGCTTCAGCTTTCTCGTTACTCCCACCCCTCTCGAGAACCTCCCTCAACTTCTCATCAAATGATTGCTTATTAGACCCCAACATCGCGTCT